CTTTTGATTAGGGTTAGCATGGCATATATTTATCCATCTCCTTCTAATTCATATGTGTCTTCATATTTAAAGAAGAGTTTTCTTGTAGACTACATATATTTGAGCTTTGTTTTCTGATCCACTCTAAGAATCTTTCTCTTTTAATTGGTGCTTTTACACCATTGACATTTAAACTGATTACTGATATAGTTGGAATAATACTGAAGTTGTTACTGTTTTCAATTTGTTGCGCTTGCTCTTTAAGCCTATTGTGATTTTCCCCTCTTTATCTGTCTGTTGTGATTTTTAACTTGGCATTTTATGCGATTTCATTTTCTTTCCATCTTAGCATATCTCTTATATATGTACATTTTTACTTTTCTTTGTGGGTGCCCTAGAGTTCACAGTTACATTTACAGTTAACGCAAGCCCACTAGCAAACAACAATCTATCACTTCATTGGTAGTGTGAGTACCTTACAATAACAAAATAATCCTAATAAGGATAAATTTCAAAAATGTGCTGGGATACTGGAAATGGAATATAGAAAAATTAACCCATTACTGTAATTAAATGATTTTTCTTCTTTTCTTGAAGCATGTGAGATTACTCATATACANCATTAATGGAGATTCTTTCTAATTAAAGGTGAGACTTTATCCTTGGATAAGAATTGACATCGATCTGCCCAGTGGGAGTAGCATCTTTAGTTGCAGATTGGCTTGAGTGAATTCCTGAGTCCAAAGGTACTTGCAATTGAGTTTGGTCAACTTTTCTAAATGATCACAATAAAAGAAAGGAAATCATAATGTTGAAAGGATACCTACACTCCCATGTTTATCANCCACGTCTCCTTCTGCCCTTACCAGGGATCCAGAGCATCAGCAGCCCCAGGAACTGAGCAGAGAACCTCATTTTGAGAAGCTGAACTGAGGAGTCCTGATAAGTCGAGGTTAGAGCTGAGCTTTTATCTCAGATTTGCAGGGGAAGTTTCTCCCTAGGGCGCAGTATGCAAATCCCCTGATGAGTGCAATGGTGTTAAAAGAGACAGTGGGAGGGTGTGGGGCCCTCCTGTGAGCAAAGTGACATAAAATGTCTTCTATATTTGGAGGAATATTGACAGAGTTAAAGTCCATTCCACTTGCAGTAGTGAGGAAAAGCATCTCATTGTGAAAGTTGGCATATGTGGGGAGGACACAGTGCACATGGCTCTGGCCCTCTAAGACATCAGGCCCTGCCCTGACCATGTAGAGATGTGTATCCAGGTCAATCTCATGTGGCCATCCCACTTGGCTCCCTCCCAGCTAATCTAGAGAAGGAAACAGCTCACACCCCCACTACTATGGGCCTTCAGAGATTTCTCCCAATAACAGCATGGAGCTGAGCTAGCTTTTGTCTGGTATCTGCTGTTACCAGGTTAGCTATTTAACAATGTTAGAAACGAATATTTAAAATAGTCTTTTCCAGGACCTAGTGAATTAAACTCTACAAGAGCACTCAAGTCAAAAATAACTTCACAGGGTGAGAAAAAATATCTCTCTCTTACTACTACAGAGTTAATAGCCCTTTTTAAGGCAAGAAGAAATGGGGAAAGAATTTTATGCTTCAAGCAGTGTATATGAAAAACCTGGTAATTGTTGTTACAAACTGGTGAATATCCTATCTTACTTGCGTCACTATGTATACACCAGATTAATCTCAGGGTAATTAGAATCATGAGTAGCATTTTCCTGAGCTTTCATCAAATGGGTGTCCTAGAATCCCCGTTATTCATGTAAAGGCTACTTTTAAATAATTATTCTCTAAGATGCTTGAATTTCAGAGAATACTGCTGTTTTCAGTGAAATAAATAGAAAATCATTGAAAGTGCTCAATTCTGATGTTGATTTTATTCCAAATCTGTTGCCCTGATAT